AGCAGCTCGGCGGGGCGTTATGTGGGCTCCCCCCGTTATCAATGCCTTTCTGAGCTCCTTTGGGGGTGTACGGGTGAGGTTTTAGCACGGGGAAAACCGGAATGAACAGGGAATCGCATTCTTGCTTTTACTCTGCTCATGGACTCAGACAGGAAAACGTATTTTGCAGGGCTTGTTCTCTCTCTGCACAGGTAGCTCAGGCTTCTAACGCGATTTATCTCTCTGCTGTGTCTTGTCAGATAGCAGGCGTCCTCTTTTATGCTACTTGCATTAACCTTGGTTTTCGGTGAAAGAAGTAGAATCGCAGAATGCTTTGGGTTGGAAGGGACCTTCAGAGGTCATCTAGCCCAACCGCCCTGCAGTGAGCAGGTACCTCTCCAACTACACCAGATTGCTCAGAGCCCCGTCCAACCTGGCCTTTCCAGGGATGGGTCCTCCACCACCTCCCTGGGCAACCTGTGCCAGTGTTTCACCATCCTCATGGTAAAAAATTTCTTCCTTCTATCTAATCTAAACCTACCCTCCCTTAGTTTAAAGCCATTACTCCTTGTCCTATCCCAACAAGCCGTGCTGAAAACATTTTCGCCACCTTTCCTGTAGGCCCCTTCAGGTACTGGAAGGCTGCTGTAAGGTCTCTCTGCAGCCTTCTCTTCTCCAGGCTGAACAGCCCCAACTCTCTCAGCCTGTCCTTGCCCTCAGATCATCTTTGTGACCTCCTCTGGACCCACTCCAACAGGTCCATGTACTTCTTGTGCTGGGGGCTCCAGAGGTGGACGCAGTATGCCAGGTGGGGTCTCACCAGAGCAGAGGGGCAGAATCAGCTCCCTTGACCTGCTGGCCATGCTTCTCTTGATGCAGTCCAGGATAGGGTTGTCCTGGGCTGTGAGCGCGCATTGGTGGCTCATGTCCGGCTTTTCATCCACCAGTCCCCCCAAGTCTGTCTTGGCAGGGCTGCTCTCAATCCGTTCATCCCCCAGCATCTATTGATACCAGGGGCTGCCCTGACCCAGATGCAGGACCTTGCCCTTGGCCTTGTTGAACCTCATGAGGTTCACACAGGCCCATTTACCAGGTTTGCCCAGGTCCCTCTGGGTGGCATCCCATCCCTCAGGCGTGTCAACTGCACCACTCAGCTTGGTGTCATCTGCAAACTCGCTGAGGGTGCACTTGATCTTGCTGTCTAGGTCATTGATGAAGATATCAACCAGCATCGGTCCCAGTACGGACCCCTGAGGGACACCACTTGTCAGGAGCGTCCATTTGGACATTGAGCTGTTGACCACTGCCCTCTGGCTGCGACCTTCCAACTAATTCCTTATCCACCGAATAGTCTACCCATCAAATCCATATTTGTCCAATTTAGAGAGAAGGATGTTGTGAGGGAATGTGTCGAAGGCTTTACAGAAGTCCAGACAGATCACATCCATAGCTCTTTCCTCGTCCACTGATGCAGTCACACCATCATAGAAAGCCACCGGGTTGGTCAGGCAGGACTTGCCCTTGGTGAAGCCAAGTAATGACCACTGCGTGTATAAGTGAACAATACTAGTATCTGTCCACGTGCAGATAAGGTGGAAGAATTCAGCTTTTTGTCAATGTTTTTTTAGTGGTGTCTATATCAATTTTTTCCACTTTTATTATTATTTCAAGTTCAAGCTCCTTCAGGATAAGAATTTAGCATAAATAATCCTTGACAGCCCAGGGATCTACCTATTGTACCAATGTCTGCTATACATTAATTTTTTCAGTATTAGCCTACAACAGTAAAATGGAAGCCCGTGCAGTTTCTCTGTTAATTTAACATACAGTGCAAATTGCCGTCCCATGCTGTGCAGGATACCCAATGTGAACCAGTTTCTCTTTGGTTTTCTCTGTCTTGAGTCTCTTTCTCTGACATATGACCCCCACATCTCTAATACAGGAGATTATGTTCTGATGTAGAATGTACTTGCATGCTAGAATACTAATCCCTTTTTTTTCTTTCCAAACCCTTTTCTGTGAACATGGGTATCAAAGACTATGAAGACGAACCTCCAATAAGAGTCTTACATGACCTCCATTGTGAAATCAGGACTCTGAAGGTAACGTCTTAACTCGCTTCCTTCTTGAAAAACTGGGGGGGAGTGTTCCATGAACTTGTGGTTCTATTTTGATCATGAAGCCCCAGTGCAACTCTGTTAGTCAGCAGTTCTGACCTTTATTTTTTTTCGTTTACCTCTAAGTCCTCATAATGGTTGTGGATGTTGGGGTGGTGCCAAAAAACTTTGGGGTGACTTAAGGTAGATTTAGCAGTGTTTTTTAGTTTGCAATCACTGTTGTCACTCAGATCAGCAGGGAACAAAGGTAAAAGGGAAGTTGTTGCTATGCCAAGGCGTAGGTGTAGGGGAGAAGGATTCAGGGGCAGCAGCTCCCTAGAGAAGTGAGCTTGTTTGTGTTCAACAGCTAGGCCTAGAATAATGAAAATCTTCACACAATTTTCAGTACCTCCAGCCATTCAGGTAAACTTGTGAAGAATGCTGTTTATTTCTTTAATAGAAGTAGGGAAAAAGGGCTATAGAAATGAGCAAGTGTAGAGATAATTTAGAGGTAAGCTGGGGTATAAACTTGAGGTTTACTGTCTGCTCTGCACTTATTCTTTGTACATAGGGAATAAGAGTCCAAACTAATTGCTGTAATCTCATATTTTTATGGAGTAAAAGTGTATATTTGTTTGTGAGGTTACCAGTAAGTAGTTATCATACCGTGAACTATCATCTTAGTTTAACTTTTGCAAGTTTTTGTACACTCATGCCCTATATATTCCTGATATTTTTTAATCTAGTTTTCAGGTATAGATAAGACCTCAATTTGCTGCTTATCCTCATCTGAAATGAAATTCAATACTTATTCCCAAAACACTTCATGTGTAAACAACTCATGTGGTGATTTAAAAACCAACATTTCTGTGTTTCGCTCCCCTCCTCCACCCCAAAAGGAAGATGTTAATGCCAGTCTTGATAAGAGTTGCTCTGAAAAACAAGCAGTTCATGATTTTGTGAAGGCAAGTGAAATGTTGATGCAAAGAAATGCAACAGATCTTGGGAAAATAAGAGAGCTGTTCCAGAAATATGGCTACAAACCACGTGTCAAAGACTCTACAGGTAATATTTCTTATCAATACAATATGTGAAGACAAATGTAATATTCTAAAATCTTTCTCTTTAGCTATGCATATATTTCCATTAATTAAGAGATCAAGTACATCTGTGTTATTTGCTTTATAATAATATCTGGAAGGTAAAGGATTCTGTTGTGACTGGTGCCATAGAACAAACAAAAATACGAAAACTTACAGTTAGATCTCTTGACATGCTTTTAAATTAGTGTATGGGTGGTGTTTTTTTTCCTCCAGGAATAGTTTTTTCAGAAAACAAGTTAGCAAACATGTTTTCATAATCCAGAGAATTATGCTGCTTCAGTTTCTCATGCATGGGAAACTATTGTAGCTGCATGTAAATTAGTTTGTATTTATACATGATGATTCCATTAACTTAAATCACTATAGAGGAAATCTTAAAATAATGTGCTCTGTTGCACAAATGGGACAAGAGAAGCACGTACAGGATTAGGTGACATGTGGCAATCTATGAAGCGGTAGTAGCTTGCTCATTGGAGGGGGGGGAGATCCTTAATCCGGTCAGAAAGTGCACACATGCCTCTGCGAAAAATCCACATATGCCAAATGAGTTTAAAATACAGCTGTCTGTACTACACATACCCCTTTTAGTATTAAGGCCCCAGTCAATCTTCAAGAAGCCTTTGGCAGGGCATGCGTTAACCTTCCCCTGAGCGTTATCCAGTCACTACACAAAACAAAGCTGTGGTCATGGACCATGCTCACCTCCAAGTTCAGCTGCTACAACTGTTCTGCAAGGATATGGCAGAAGGCTCTGATTTTATAGTACCTTTCTTCCTGTCCTTTCTGCCCTTAAAGAAGGCTCCAAACAGAGCTAATTTGGTTTTAAGATGTATTTTTAAGCTAAGCGTATCTGAATACGTAGTGCTAATACACATAAAAAGGTAATGCCTCTCACATGTTATTTTAAATAGCTCCCCCGCACACACACACTTCTTACATCATGCAGAAATTCATAAATGCTTTGGTGTGTTTCAGTTTGTTTATCTCTGCAGTGAATTCTTCTTGTTATCTAAAAAGCTACCGTCTTTCACGAGTGTTTAGTTGCTGCTTCATAACCTTTCTTCAATACTGTTTTTTCTGAAACCATGAGCGTTTTAGTACTGTGTGGCCTTTGCTCTTTTTCAAAAAACATTTTCCATTCTAGACAAATTTGTTGTACATTTTGAATTAATTTTAATTGTTGCATTGAAATAAAAACAAATAAATGTATTTAAGATTAGCATTTCCTGCCTGCTCCATGCAGGGAGATGAGTCTATTAAAAATACAGTTGTGTAAGAATCTTTCAATTTTATTTTTCTTAGAAATGATAGTTACCAATAGAGTGAAATTCAGTGAATGTGTGACCTGTATTATAAATGCAGCTTAGCCTGGTATGAGCTTTGGATATCTGTTGTGGGTTCGGTTTCAGTGCTTTAAAATGAAAGAAAGAATCTATTTTTTACAACAATAAATTTAGAAAAATAGATAGAGGGGAGGAAGTCCCAATTTTTTTTTATATGTTCTTAAAGCAGGAACTTCTGACATAATTTTTTTTTAATTACTTTTCTCAAACATCAGCGGAGGAAGAAGTTAACAGTGATTCAACGGTGTCTGTCCAGAATAAATCCGATGAGGAAAAGGAAGATGATGTACCTCATCTTCCTGCTCATACTGAGAAGCCACAGGTGCCCAAAGACCCGCTGCATAACCCCCAGCTTTCTGATTTTGGCCTTTCACAGTATGCTTTCTCCAGGCCTTGGAGTGCAGTGAAAGGACAGCACGCAACATATGCACCTCAAGAAAATTCAAAGAGCAGGACTCCGCTAAAAGCACAGAGCCCCTGTATTTTGCCCAAAACACCAAAATGTATGCTAAAGATGGACGATTATGAATGTGTAACACCAAAACTTGAACACTTTGGCATTAGTGAACATACCATGTGTCTGAATGAAGATTATACGATGTCGCTTATTCGTAAAGCTGCTCAGGCAAGCAAGAAGTAAGTCAATTACTTGAGTTTAGATTGTTTCTCTACTTAACTTTCTGTAGTTTCTTCTTGCTGCACTAATTTCTTGCTGCTGTTGCCTTTCTCTTTTTCTTCAAGCAGGAGATATGTTGTTATCTATCAGCTGGTTAGTCCTGTGTCTTTATTTGACTCTGTGTGTCTTTTCATGTACCCTTTGCAGTGCCAAACGCTGCCGAGAAACACATCTCTGGTATACTCCTTCCCTTGACTGCACCACATTAAGAATATTCCATACACCATCTGTTTACTAAGCGAAAATGCACGGTAGATCCGTGATTTTTTACTTTCCTTAACCATGTATTTGGATTTGAGGATGTGCTGTCTGCAGTAGATACTATATAGCCAGTTTAAAGGTTTCAGATGCGTTAGGAATGTAGACCTGGAAAAAACTTCTAAATCGTTCAGTAAAATGCCTCATTGTAGAAACTGTTACATTATCCAGCCCCACCTTACAAAGAGCTCTTTTTGCTCCAGTCTTCTGTTGAAAAGACACCTCCAGATTGTCACTGTTCTAATTAAAATGAAAGAAAATAATTTTAAAGCAGTGAGGTGTAGAACACCTTAGCAATAGAAGTATTTTTCTATACTTCTAAGGTAATGTAAAGGCAGTTAGATTATGTTTTTATAGTTAGTATTAGCAACACGTTCAATTTAAAAGCTGACAGCATTTAAAAGAAACTCACTGTTCTGCAGCTAAATATTTGGTATTTAGAGAAATTGTTCAAGAAACAAGAACCGTATTTAAAATAAGTAGTGGGAATAATCATTCAGCTTCTTTTAATCCCTGATATTTGCGATACAGGCACAGGTGTTCAGTTCTTCAGAACCATGCCGACTTCAGTGACTTTGTTCCCCAAAGATCCAGTTTACTGCAATGGTTAAATTTTGAGTATAGGGTGGTTTTTTTTAGTTTTAAGATTACTGGGGGGGACAAGTGAAAGTGAAAAGACACATTTTCTTTTCAAATAGTTTTGGGATCTCTCATTTGAATAGGTGTGTAAATACTATAATGTCTATAAGACTTTATATAGTATTTGAATTGTAGTAATAGGAAAACTATTGCTGAATCCTGAAAGATATTAATTAAAAAATTATTCCCTCTCAATATTTTGAAAATTTTTTCATCTAATAACACAATTTAAGTTCTTTTGATATCTGTAACTTTTTGTGCATTTGTACTACTTTTCCTATTTAATGAGAACTGTTTTGAATGTGATCTCCTCTTTCATTATGGCTGTAATTTGTAAATGTATACAACGACAAATTTAGATTCTATTTCTGTGGCTTCTAGTGAAATGATTAGACAGTCCACTAGCGATATTTATATATAATTTAAAAAAAAAAAAATCATACTAGCAGTCTTCCGTACCCCTTATGATAATATTAGAATTCTGTAGATAATTAGTTATAGCATGATTGCTCTTTAACACATCATCATTATTAATGACTAAAACAGATGGACACACTAATTGTAGCTAAAGTCAAAGGTGCGTATGGATTCAGAATTAGGGCATATCTGAGAGGTCATGTCATTAAGTCATTAGTGTTAAAATGTTGTTTAACTGTCTTTTAGCTTGTTTGTTTTGTTTTCATCATTAAGTTAGAGTTAGCTTGTGATTTGATCAGAAATCAATAAAAGAAAGATACTTTTTCACTGGATAGTGGGCAGAATCTCTTGCCCAAGGATCAGTTAAGCAAAAATACCTAGTATGACTGAGGTAGCCTTGTACCTGTAGTTTCCAGGTACAAAGACAGGTAATAATTCCGACTGTCTTGGAGACAGCCCTGCCCTTTCATATCTCTTGCTTGTGCCAGCCAGGTCTTGTATCTAGCTCGAACTGGTCTAGTAGCTGTGCATTGTGTGAAAACCACTTCAAAAATTCATCTCAAAAGTTCTTAAAATATTTAGTAGACCTCAACTTCTCCAACTTTGTTTTTCAGAGTTTCAGTTTAATATACCTTGATGCACCTACTACAAAACTGAAACCAAAATTAATTAGGAAAGAAAAGAAAGAAAAAAGGGAAGTGTCTGGAAAAAAAGTGTTTATTGTTATACTTATTCTTCTCCATTGTAAAAACTAAAAATCATATGGTTTCAGGTGTATATAATACTTCAAGGCAAAAGTGACCTGAAAAATTACTACTTTTTTTTAACTCAAAATTTGAGATGTGTTCATCTAAGTAAAATATAATACCTCAAATGGAATTTTGTTTTAAGCTTAGGTTTTGTGTAGAGAAGCTCTGTATCTTGATCTCATAGGATAACTTTTTAAACATTTTAAATAATTTTCTTATAGACACACTTTTGTGTAGAGTTTAGGTAAGCTTCCACTTTTAGTCTGGCATTGTCGCTTAACTGCCTACACCCTTCTTCCACTAGAATATCTTCGATGTGAAAGAAGAATTTAAAAAATTTCAGTTTCTGATTTTGTGGAATTGATATCAAATGGCTTTTCACTCTGAAGTCAGCTAGTGATTAACATAAGTTATCTTACTCCAGCTCAAAATTTGAATTAAAAACTTTTAGTGTTCACAATAATGTTAGTAGGTTAAAAGCCAAAAAGATTTCCACTTGTTGTTTAGAATTTTGTAGGCAACAGGCAATTCAAAATAAAATAGACTGTACCCCTAACACAGAATTGATCATCTGGGACCAAGAAAATTGATCGTACCCTGGACACCTTTTTTTTTTCCCTCCCTTTTTTTGTTTTGGGTATTTATTTTTTTATGCCTTGGATTGAAATCTCAGTGTATGTGAGAATTTGTGGATTGACTGAAGATTTGCACACTACAAATTGCTGCAGTAGAATCAGAGATGAAAAATCCATGAAAAAAAACATCTTTGAGGGGAAAAAAAAATTTCACTTGCATGTTGATGAACAAATACTAGAAAAGTGATCAGGTTGACAGTATTCCTTTAATTGCGATTTCTTCATATTACTTGAGAGCTAATTGAGGGGTTTGGTTTTCAGGTTGCTTAAAAAGGATGGTTGTGAAGTGAATGTACCAGAAATGACATCCCGGGAAATCACAGTTACTCCTGTGCCAAGACCAAAAGTGACAGCTGAGAAGGGTGAGTTAAAAATATGTGTAATAAATATACATATGCATTTTTTACATAGTGCATGTGTAAATACATTGTAAACACATGGTAAACTTTTAAACTGTGTTTCTTGTTAAATACAGTTAATTCAGGCCTGGTCATTGTATGAGTACGAATATCTAGAAAATGAAATGTTGGTGGCTTCTGTGGGAGTCTCTCACTTCAGTATAAATATTTGCTCATTCTTCTACTCATATCCACCTAGAATTATGCAGAGGGATCCATCATTTTTTAACTGCAACTTATCCTTATTTGAAACAAAAATAATGTTTTGCCAACTTAGCCTTTTTTTTTTCAGAGAACACCCATTAGATTAGATTAAGAAAGAAATTGCTTTGAAAGAGGCTAACAAAGACAGTAACTGAGATCTTTCAAGAGCTAAAACTTCTTTGAGAGGAGATGTAATATGTTCTCTTGAAAATGCGTTAAGATCTTGGGGCAAACGTGACGAATGAATATATGAGAAGCTAAAGCAATATTTATTTGAATTGGGCTTTTTCAGTTATATTCAGTAGTGGGACTAGGTATTTTAGAATATGCAAATGTGTGAAAAGGTAACAGACTTAGAAAACTGAACTGGGGCACTAGAACTGATAATATTTATATATGTGTCTGTATGCATACACTTTTATTTTTATTCCGCTCCTCCCTCATTTCAACAGCTGACTGGATGGTTTCTCCTATGATACTCGTGTTCTGTACTCCTGATGTGAAAATCCCTTCTGGAACAAATAATACAGTGTTATCAAGGTCACCAGAGACAAATGAACTGCCTCTTGCCAGTCATACAGAAACACCACAGTTTCCAAATTTTGAAACAAGATGGCTAAAAACAGAAGCTAAGATGGTAAGTAGCAATTATGTACATCTTCACACGCTTTTTACCATAAATGCTTTTTTAAATGTCAGTCTGGGATTCTTTTTCAGTGCTACTTTTTCTTAGATGATCTTTCTAAAGGTAATTTTTTAGGAACAATTATTAAATACTTTATCTAAGATAAGTAACTGAAGGCATTTAATACCTCTTTTGTAGCAGGTAAAGCAGGGGGAAAAGATTGAGTCGGTGACAAAAAGCAATACAACAGATAAACAAAACATAGAAGATAGCATTCCTTTCGCTGTGAGCTCTGATGAGTATCTTAAACATTTTGGAGACCCTTCTCCTCCCCAAATAAAACACTATGACCAGTTACTCAGTACTCCTCCGCCTCCAGAAATAACAAGGATACCAGATGATGTTCTACAGGTTAGCTGATACACTTTTTTTTCCTAAATAGTTTTAATATCAAAATAGTAAAATTAAAAGGGCTTCGTTCTGTCAAATGTTATTCTTCAAAAAGAAAGAGTTCTGTGCTACTTATTAAAAAAGTATGAACTGTAATCCTGTTTCGAGTTCTTGGATAATTCTTTGTATGCCCTTTTAATGTTTTCTGTAGATTTTGTCAAAGTACAATCATGATGTAGATACTTCTAAAGGCAAGGAAATGGAGACCAAGGCAGGAAATACTAGAAGATACGAAAGTGATTTCACTGATTACTGCAACAGAGAGAACAGGTATGATTAAATTTTACAAATTTGGTGCAGTAATTTAATTTTGAGTTTTTGTGACAACTTGATCGAATGTAGATATTCCTGATTCAATGTAAGGTGTATTACACTTGTTGGTTATCTGTTAAACTTGAGGTCAGTACAGATTATTTAGGTAAGAGATACAAGGAACACATATGTAGTCAAATAATAATCACAACAACCCGGAGTGAGACTGATAAAAGTAGGTATCTTAATATACTTGGAGTTGGAATCCATTTGAGTAATCAAATAGAGCAAAGCTCTTACTTGAGCTGACCTTTCTTTTTTTTTTGTCAAGATAATAATGAAAAAAAGTTTTCAATGTTTGTGTCTTCTGGCAATTCAAAATATGATTGAAATAATAAGTTCATGAACTCTTCTGGATGTATTTGCAGAGGATATCCTGGATTTTTCAAGCCAAACATCTGAAATCAAGCTGAAGACCATGGTGAGCCTGTTTTGCATTATTCATGGATCTTATCACTGAATCCTAACAAGCCCAAGAAGCAAAAGAAAGTACTGGTGGGAGGAGAGAGCCATGAAAAGGAAAAGCTTTCTTAATGGAGAAAGTTTGATGTGGAAAAACTTGTTTGAAATAACAACTTGTGCTTAATTTTTTATTGAAATTATTGGCAAAATATACTGGGTTTTTAAATAAATATATGCTTCAAAGAGGGCTGGGGTCATGTACGATGTCAGTTGTTTCACCTGATTCTTGCGTTTGTTGTGTGTGCTTGCATTTGCAGTAGGCTGTAGAGAAGTGTAGTGAGGTTGCAGCAAAAGAACAGTGCAGTATGTTGCCCCAGAAAGTAGGTATCGCTGGCTGTTCTGGCCACGCTGTACATCTTTTCAGGGCTGAGTTTGAAGCGTAGTGCTTTGACAGTATTTGGTGTCTTCAATAGAAACAAGTGTTTCTTAATGTGAAGAGTAACTCCTGCTTTATTGTTTGAAGCACTGCTAGACTGTTAAGTCACTTGTGCAATACTAAGACGTATCAGACATATTCCTGAATCAGGCTCTCTGTTACCTATCTGATGGACAGGTGTTTCTTGTGCTGCTGCTTCTTTCTTATTATGGTTTTCTTACATTGACATCGTATGAAGGTGCTATACATCTGGTTTACTTCTGACAGTCTAATCTCTGTAGCCCTAAAAGGTGACTCTGGCTCAAATATGAATTATTTGAAAGTATATTGTGCAATTGGTACTGCTTATATATCTGTCTTCAGCTGCTGGAAAGATTTGCTGGCAGGCATGTAAGCGCTTGCTTACTCTCCTGCCCTGCTGCCCGGTGCGTTCTGCAAGTGGTGGCGTCACTTCTGAACATGCACATCTACCCCTGTAATAGCTGACCTAGCTGAAGTTCTCAAGAGTTGTTGGGCACTTTTGTGGTATCTGGTAGTCATAGTAACTGGGATTTTTTTTTCCCACCAGAGATTTTACTTTTGTCCACAAGAAATCCCAACTACATGTCATTGTTTGGAGCCAGCTTGCCGTTTCCAGTGCCAGCTATTCCTCTGAGTGACTCCAGGACTGCTCTTACCAGCCGTACGTGGTCTTTCTGCTGGTGGCTAAAATTCTGTCATTTATGTGAGGGCAGGCATACAACACATGAGAAGGGAGAGACTGTCCCGGGATATGGGAAGAAGTGTGTGCTTTTCTGAACTTTCTGAACACAGTGCCACAATTTTTTTTTAAGTCCTCAGGATGTGCAAACATCTGGAGATGTGCAGAAGTATTTCTCCAGTTGCTTAGACGGACTTATCCTGGCTAAAACCTAGCAAGTAAAGGAGCCTTTTCCTGCTATTCCAGTCATTCTCCAGGATAAGCGTAGATCAAATTAACTGGAGAAGCTGATTTTATATTGTCATTTTTCTGTGCTAGCTTCTGTTTAAAAAAAGTATGTATTATTGTGTGTCAGTCTTTGAGCTTGATCAACACTTCTGAATACTAAATAAATCTGTTTCGGATGCTTAGTGGCTGCTTGGAAAACTAATCATCTGCAGCTATAAAAAGACTTACTTGTTCTACTCAACTGCTTTAGAGAATGAAGGAAAGACCTTCCAACATCTTCACAGACTAAAACCATTTAATGGGCTGGATGCTAGTTGTGGAATTTCATGGTCTTGAAAAGGTACAAAGTATTCCGCTGCAGAGCAAGCATCTCTCCGCCAGACAGATACACCAGCACTAAGCAGGAGGGGTTTCACAGCCTGCATTCTCCCTCCACAGCACTTCACGGCTGCTTTCTTGCCCTGAAGCAATCCAGATACCTGGAAATCTCCACTCAATCAAGTGGAACAAGCAGCACTGCTGTCCTGGACCTTGCTGTGTTTCTGCCCCACCCCGTCCCTTCAACTAATGAAATTCCCAAAAGCGCTGATCAATGTCTTCTCCCTGAACTTGAGCACAACTCTGCACTCCCCTGTGCTTTCCTCCCGTAGGGAGCTATAGAGCGGTACCTAGCAGTGCTGGCGTTCTCGCCATCAGACATGCATCATTTTTCTTGCCTGTTGAACACTGTTTTCTGCTACATTTCATAGCTATTTCGTTAACGACTCTGAAAGGGATTCAATTAATATTTTGAGATACAAATTATCTTCAAGATGACAATTCAGATCTGAAAATCTTCTGGTCTACTTAAGCTATTATGACATGATGCTGGCATGGGACTTTTTGGAATCTAGAAGTTTTGCTAGTTAGTTTTGTTCTCCTTGCCTAAAACAAGTGACATTGCTGTTTGTATTCATGTTCTTTATAGCAGGACTGTTGCTCTGAGGTGGGTATAATCAGAGAAGCAAAACAAAAGCTAGTTTTATTTTGTTGTCTCTCTAATTGAAAACCTTTTAGGTTTCAGTGAGGCCTAAGCAGCAGTTTAAGTGTTGAGGGTCAGGGAGGGAAAAGTTGTCGGAAGTGAAAGCATGAGCAGGGTTGGAAACTGATTGGTGTCCCAGACAAGCTGGAAAGGGAGGTGGTGGAAATCTTTGTGGTTTGTTTTGTCTTTTTTTTTTCCCTGCTCAGAGCAGTTCTCTCCCACAGGTGTGGGCCATCTGGTAAACCCCAGGATGTAGCCATGGGGCTGGAGGAGGTTAAGACTCCCCTTAAACCAGTATTGCTGCTGAGGAAAGGTGTGTCCCGCTGCGCACTGAAGTCATACGACGTGTCAGAGTGGGAATAATACAAAAGAACTTAAAAGTTGCAGGTTGGTTTCTTGTGGGCTGAATCTGATCATAGCATTGGCCTGTCAGGAAGTGCAGTTTGGATAAACGGTGGCTAAATAAGTAGCAAAGGTGGTAGTTCTGGAAGGGACATTCATCGCCTGGAAACGGGCAGAGTTGACTCCGAGTATGGTTCTGTGTTGTGCTGAATTTAGCTTAACTGGGGGCTCCTTCAACTACAGGCTGTTTTACCACCACTTGTTCACAGAATTCAGAGGTCCTGCAGCTTTATGATGGATTCCTTCTGTTTGCTGAGCCACTGAAAGACTAATTAACTTTATTTTCTTTTCTAGTAATCTCAAACTTGGCTTCTGCCTGTGTGATCACTAGATCAGATGTAAGGAAAGGGTAAGACTGGGATCACATCTGCTAGCAGTAGCCTGCAGTCAGAAAAGATTGAACCCAGCACAAAATTGTACTTCAATATTTAGGGGCATCTGGGAAGCAGCCAAAAAAAGCATGGCCTTTAGTTTTCCTTCATTTGCTGTGGTTCTTAATCTTTTTTTCATTTGTTCGAGTGTATCAAATGTATCAGCTAACAGAAGCTTCTCCCCGTAATCCCATTTGTTTTCAAAGGAGCATTTCGATTGTTCTGCCTTGGAACCCACGTGAAGTGGTCAACGCTTTCTTGTGTTAGAAATATTTTGCTTGAGGTTAAGTTACAAATACAGATCTTGCCATGAAATGAGACTTCCCAGAGGGCTGTCAAATGGATAAATGACAAGCATCGCTTTTAGTGCCTCCTGTTGTGCTTTTATTGATGCTTTTCTAAATCACTAGAGCAATAACCTGAGTGCAGGCTGCCTTGGTGATTTAAAGCATCATGGATGCTTTAAATTTTCTGTAAGATGTGATACTTGCTTTGTTCCCTGTTGTCATCATCCAGATCTTCCAGCACTCGCGGTGGCTGCGGGTGGCCCATGAACAGCTGTAGCTGATGTTGGGGCTGCCTTGTGTCTTGGGAGTGCCTCGTCTCCCCATGGGACAGTCATGCAGAGATGGTGGCGTTTGTAAGGAGCAATGACAACATCCAGTGGCCGCGCTGTGGAATCGCATGTGCATCAGTCCACAGGAATACAGCTTTCTACCAGGAAAACATCGGTCAATGCTGGTTATATTACCTATCAACTTAAACATGAAACTTCGTGCTGTACTTACGGTAATACCCACTTTTGCAAAGGGGCGGTTGACATCAGTGCAGGGAGCTGATCAGGTCCGTGAATCTTTGCTCTTCTCTTGTCTAATTCAAGTGTAAGGGTTTAAAAAATAAATAGCACGAATGTGCACACACTGGAAACGGTCCATGGAAGAAGGTGCTGTGCTACACGGGCATTTCTCCTCGGGAGAGACGGAGCGCAGGACAGTTTGCAGAATACCCGGCAGGAAGGTGTTCAAATACTTGAGTAATTTTTGACATAATGTATTCCTGGCTTAAAGCCCTAGGTTGTGCTCCCTAATGGTTGCTTACATGATTGTTGTAACCCAGCCTAAGGCCTTGCTGCAGGGTGCCGCCTCTCCTTTCCCCCAGCTGCCCTCGGTCGTGTTGCTGCAGTGGTGGCTGCACGGGAAGCAGCTTGCAGGAACTGGGTGTTGTTTTCCGAGGTTGAATTACGCACGGACTCTGTGCGCTGACCCACGTCACTGCTCGCCGGCAGCGGCACTGCCCGGTGCTGAGGCAAAAGAAGGGAAGGGGCGAGGGGAGTGGGAGCCGGGACGTCTCCTGCAGTGTCGGGTTAAGCGTCTCAGGGAAACAAAGCCTGTCTGTCTGGCTGCTTTGGTAAGGTTTCCTGATGCTGTTGTCCCACAAGTGTTTCCACGGTGGCTGAAGCTGTTGCTCTTCTTCACCCCATCACCCCTTCCCTGGGACAACCGCTTGGCTGGCTGTGTGTGAATTGGGCTGGAGGGGACACAGCTGCTAGGAAATGCCTCGCCCTTGGAAGAGGGTCCTGCAGGTGTGGTTTGGTCCTGGCCATGCAGGCTGCTGCGATGTGGTGCTGGTGGGACCGTATTTCAAATCTTTAGTGCTTCTGAATGCATGTGCTTCACTTCTCCCGTTCAAGCATAAGCCTCCTGCTCTCCAGTGCAGTTCCCAAGCCAAAGTCAGCAGGGGTGTGCCACGCTTGCCGGCAGGCCCCAGGCTAGGCGTGGGCTGTGGGAGGGCACACAGCCCCAGCCAAGCGGGCAGGTAGCGAGGGGTGTTGGTGCGGGACTGCTGCCGTTCTTCAAATGCCCTGCCTGGAACCACTGCTGGGGCTCTCTCCTCTTGTCCTCTGAAGCCTGTGGTATGTGCTTCATGGCTTTCAGCTGCAAGACCTCAGCAGGTGGCTGGAAGGAAGAGGGTCAGCTGTGCTGGGTCCTATCTGTTGCTCAGCAATGGGGTGCTGCCTGGTCTTCTGCATCTCCCAGACATGCACTGAGGACTCAGGAAAGGAACACTTAGATTCAAACAGCAGACACGGCGTGGTGGTCTGGCCTGGGTGCAGCTTCAGGCCCCTGTTAAAGCCCCCCAAGCCTCTGCAAGCCTGAAGACACCAACTCGTGTTTGCCTGAAGCACAGGGTGGGGAATTCACGCCTCAGCCAGTGCAAAGAGGAGCTTGCCCAGAGGTGCCCTCGGAGCTGTCACTGGCAGCATTCGCTGGATTTTCTTGCTGAGTGTTGAAGAGGTCAAGTGAGTTTCTGGTCCAGGATGTCTCTCCTTAAGCCTGTGAGCTCTGTGAGGCTGGGAATACCCCAGGGAGGGTCCCAAACACCCCAGCCCCTCTGAACCCAGCCCTTTGCCTTTTTTTATCTCCAGCGCCTTGCTGGACATGCCAGCCAGGCATCCCCTGTCATCACCGGCAGGTCGCGGTGGCCGGGCACAGCGCCTGCTGTGGATGGCACAACATGGGTGCCTCACAATTCAGATTCCTCACGGTCCTGTTCTTTCAGAGAAACTGATGCTTTTGGCTTTTAGGTCCTGTCTTAGCTGTCGCGTTACAGCGCTGTTCTTTGAACACAACCATAGCTGTTAGTCATTCACTCTGACGCAACAGGGTTTCTGAGACCTGCTCATTTTTCCATGCTTTCCATTGCAGGAGTGAGAACTTGCTGATAATGCTTAATGGTTTCCTGCTGCATCACAACTGTTTCTGCTTTTGACCAGAGCTGTAAAGCAAAATTTCAGCCTCCACAACCGCTCCAGTCAGATAACAGAAAATGCGGTGCCGGAGCGAGGACTCTGTCTGATGCTGCCCCGGTTACTGACAAGGTCTGTGTGCGAGCCGCATCCTCGCTGCTTAACCAGGGAGGGAATTAACCCAGACACCAGTTCCTCTGCCAGAGACAGAGGCAGCCTCTGCCAAAAGTGCTGCAGAAGAGCTTTTGTGAGGGTTTTCTTCCCAGGGGAAGGAAATGGCCGCCCTTCTGAGGCTGTAGCCCTTCTCCTGTACATATGTACGGGTGTGTGTACACACACACGTGAACCTGTGGTGGAGGGGTGGTGAATTCAGAGAGGGACTGTGAAAACAGAGACCTTAGTTTAAGGCCTGAGCATGTCAGAGAGGAGTATCTCCGACCC